TCCCTATGAGATAGAACAGCACTGCCCCTGTGGTTTTCTGAGACTGTAACTCTTTACAGGAGCAGAAAGCCTCATTTTTCTCCCTCAGAGGGGCTGGTTGTTTTGAACTGCTGAACTTGTGGTTACCAGCCCAATGCATAACCACTATGCCACCAGAGTTCCAGCTATCAGGCTTACAGGATCATATCTCATTTTGAACATAATAAGAATTGCTGAAACTTAGCTTAACTAACCTGCTTGGGAGCTCATTACTAATGGCTAAAGAGTCAACATATGAAACCAAGTCTCTCTTAACTTGAAAGTTCATCAATTAGCCCACATATCCCTCCACTGCGCCTTTCTGTCTTGCTTCCAATATTAGTGCTTGTCTCTCATTCCCCAAGTATTGTCAGGAGACTGCACAGGAGTGGACATTACCAGACTTTAAAGCAATGATCTTGGACACATTGTGGAGACTGCGTGGAATGCAGGACAACTACTGCCACTGCTGTAACATTTCACACTCAGACTCTGGGGATACTAAATGACTATCATCTGCCCTTGATTTGCTAGCTTTTCTAGTGAAATAAAAATCTAATTCTGTCCTCTGTTTTGTTTCTCCCTACCTTCCATCTCCTCTTCTGCTCTCCATTAAGAGTCCCTGGGCTCCAGGGGTAGTCACTTTGACTTAAACCTGTTATTGGTCCATACCTTCAACTTCTTAGCTAACTCTTACTAAAATGTGATTAACTCTGTACTGATAACTATTAATTGCCCAGAAAGTTCTCCTGAGTGTATGTCATCTGTGAGATATAGATAAGTCTTCTACTATAATTGGCATGCTAGATTATGGTAGAAAAAGAAATATCAATCACTGATACTGAGCTTGCTGTGTTCTTACACTAATTGTCTCTAGAACAGTGTATTAAGGAAAACATAGACGATCTATCAATTCTTCATACCTGAACAATGCATCTGGAACTACTTGAATGAATTGAAAGTAAAATAAGTGCTATGGCAGGTTACGCCATACTTTACTTTTTCACTTAAAAAAAAAAGAAAAGGAAATGGAAAGCATACCACCTTTAGAAGGCCCTGGCCTTGGCTTGAATATTAAAATGGCTTTAGTAATTTTTTTATATATGCCACATTTTCTTCCATACATCACCCATCCTTGCTACATATGTGTTGGATATTTACCATGTGAGTGGGAATGCTATGGCATAGAGAGGTTGTCTTATTTAGAAATGACCTGAAGGGGTTGATGTAAAGTCAGACTTTTGGATTAAACCTGTATTTTCTACCTGGTCTGATAGAGATCGTTTTTCTTTTCTTTCTTTCTTTCTTTTTTTTTAAATCATTGGTTCTGATTTCTAGATAGATAACCAGCATTCCCTTACATCAACAAAGAAGAGAGATTACATATAAGAACAGTATAATTTTTGTGAGTTTAGAAATATTATGTCTTAATATTGGTTCTACCATGTTCTCTAATTTGAAATGGAGTGAAATATTTCCGTGGTTAAATCATAGTTCTTTTGCTGTTCACTATAAAAGTTTCAAGAATATATATTTCAAAAATTTTTTTTAAATAATCCAAAACAAATGCAACAGGGTTCAACATACTTAAAACACATTTTATGAATTTATCTGAAATCTCTCTGCTTGAGAGGGTTTTTTCTGTGTGTGTGGATTAGGTCTGGCCTGTTATTTCACCATCCATCCCCATCCTGGATTGATTGCACTGAACAGTCCAGAATGAGTTACATATGGTCCCAGTTTGTAGGTCCTCTGGGTGGAAACTCCATTTGAACAGAGAGAAGCTAACCATTGCAGAAATGTGGCTAATGTCAACATCCTAAAGAATATGTATATCCCTGTTAGATAGAGCTGGCATTTTGCTACACATTGTCTCAATAGTTATTATTCCTATAATACTGATGTCATTTCCTGTATTAAAAAAAATCCATCAACCTCTATTACTACTGTTAATATTAAAGTTCTTATGCATAGGGATAATGCTACAAATGTGGATCAAGATAAGTATTTAAAACCTTTTTAAAAATGATGAATGCATCAACAACCCCCCCCACCCCAAAAGCACTTAATGAATTTAAAGAGGAAACGCTTTGTTAACTGTATAGTTCATTTATTTTTCACTAAGTGAGGCTATTTATAAAATGATAAAGGAAAAAAAGGCTTCAGATGTGCCTTAAAGTTTGAGGGCTGCTCATTAGCCATGCAGAGTTGAACAAGCCAGAGGGCTGTAACCATCATGTGTAAGGTTTGGCTTTTAGCTGCCTGTATGAACAAAGCTGCTGAGGGTAACTTTCCTCCTTTTCAGTCTCTTTTCTTCCTCTATGATGATTTCCCATCTTTTTCCTCCTCTTGCTTTATTTATTTATTACTCTCTGTCATCCAGTTCCCCCCTCCCCCTCTTCCTTTCTCTGACCGTCCAACCACGTGCTTTAAATCGGAGGATCTGGACTGCCTTCCCAACAGCTCAGTGTGAGTGTTAGCGGAATGAAAGCCAGATGGACCAGCAGTTCCCACCGTTATCTCCCAGCAGACTCTGGCAAGCCTCGCTTCATCCCTCACTCCTTGGCATGACAGAAATATTTGCCTTTATTTAGGGCGACTTGTATTTGCTGCTGTACCTCTTTCCTCAGCTGCAACATAGGCGAAAAGCTATTTATTCCCTTCTTGCTGAGGTTGGTTGAGGTGAGTAGACTGTGCAGTGAAGTTAACGATTGAGGAGGGTAGTGTTCAGGCCGTCTCGCTTGGGTGATTATCTAGATGGGGACTTTGGGATACGGGTTGTTAAATGGTGTGGTATGGCAATATGAAGACATGTTTTAACAATAAGATAAAAGTAGAAATGTACTGGTGACTGTGCCATCGTTTCAGTATGTTTTTATTAACACTGTCGTCATCAGCATTAGAGATTCAGAGGGAGAAGCTAGTACTGTTAACTAGATCATCCTGGGAAATCTTCTTTTATTACAACTTGGCATAGTGGGTTACCAGTAGGTTACTAACTGTAGGGTTAGCAGTTCAAACCCACCAGTTTCGAAACAGGGGGTTGTCTGGTCCTATAAAGACTTACAGGCTGGGAAATTGAAAGGTAGAGTTCCACTCTGCCCTATTGGGTCCCTATGAGAGAAAATGGGTGGGATGACAGTAGTTTTCAGATTCCCTTGACAGGTATTATGCCTATCAATCCTATATTTGAAACATGATACCCGTAAACATTATTTCGATGTTCGTGTTATATTTTATTGCAACCAAAGTCTTATGAAATGGATGGACAAAGATGAGTCAGATTTTGAATTGTTAGTCCAGACTTTTTAGTTTATTGTGATGGTGGACTTTGGAATAATTTTGAGAATTGTTCACAATGGTTTTGATAACATTTCACAGGCTCGTCCTTTATATAAATATTGTTGTTGTTAGGTGCGTTCAAATCAATTCCAACTCACAGCGACCCTCTCTGCAACAGAATGAAGTACGGTCTGGCCCCGTGCCAGCCTCACAGTTGTTACGTCGAGCCCATTGGTTCAGTCACTGGGTCAGTTCATCTTGGGCAGGGCCTTCCTCTTTGCCGCTGCCCCTCTGCTTTACCGAGCAGGATGTCCCTTGTCAGGGGCTTGTCTCTCCTGATAACATGTCCAAAGAATATGAGACAGAGCCTCACCATCCTTGTTTCTAAGGAGCATTCTGGCTGTCCTCCTTCGAAGACAGATTTGCTTGTTCTTTTGGCAGTCCATGGTGCTTGCAAGATTCTTTAGCTGCACCTTAACTCGAGTGCGCCCGGGCTTTGGTGTTCCTTATTCCGTGTGCGATTTTCCCTCAAGGGGTTGGAAAATACAGTGACTTGGGTCAGGCACACCCTGCTCTTCAAAATGGCAGCCTTGTTCTTTAGCGCTTTAAAGGTGTCTTCTTGATAGTCAATGCTATTTTAATCACCAGTAATTCTAAGCACAAAATGGGTATGCTTAAGGCTTCAAGAAGTTCCTCAAAATAGTTTAGGGGTACACACGTGTATTTATAGACAATTGGATCTAGAGACCCTATTCATAAAAGCTTCTCGTTTTTTACTGGCGATCTGTTGCTTACACAAGCAATTTAAATTGAGAAAAGAGTCCAAAATACAGGGGAATATATATATATATATATATATATATATGTATATATATATATATATGTATATATATATATAGAGAGAGAGAGAGAGAGAGACAGTGCTGAAACACAAATGGTAAGTATTAAGTAATTAGTTTCTCCATATCTATCTTGTACTTTATGGAAAACATGTTA